GGGGGGGGGGGGGGTGAAGTCATTACCCGGCGGGGTGGCGTCAGCGACGGCGCCCCTCAGAGAGATTGCGCGGTTTTCACTCCGACATGACAACCACGCGACCCGGCTCTCGCTCCTCGGTGGCGCGTCGTCGTCGTCGTCTTGGGGAAATTATTATCCCTCGCATCAACACCGATAAACTGATTTCGCTTCCCGGCCCAAGTGTTAAATTCTTCATTAGCTGTCATTTTCCTTCTTAATTGCCTGTCAACACCGGTAAAACAAAGGTGTGACCTAACACACCTTTGTTTTACCAGCGAAGAGATGTATTGTACGTTTTACTTCTTCGACAACTTACTTTCTCTTTACTATTTAGTTTTGTTTTTGAGTTGTATTCTATTAATTAGTCCGTAGTTTAGCTTAGATTCTTTCTTTTCCGTGTGTTATTTTGTGCCCTTTTTCTCATGTTCCCGTCGCTTCTTCCGCATGCTGTTGCCGGCCGGGCTACGTTATCCAGGTACATGATGGCCGCCATGCCTTACCACCACCAGCACCACCACGGGCACATGCCCGGACACCTGCCCGTGCAGATGCCCATCTCCGCCCTCAAGCGACCGTCGCGCATCGAGCAGCTGCAGCTCGACTGGAAGCAACTGGGCACGTACGTAGTGCAGGACGTGGAGCCCCTCAGGCCTGCTGAGCACTGGGATCGGCACGGGGAGCTCACTGGGAGAAGCACTGGGAGCAGCACTACTGGGAGCAGCACTACTCGGAGCAGCACTGGGTGCAAGCACGGCGGGCTGAGGCTTCCCGCACATGCAGCTCGGAGCAAGCGTTGCCATGGAAGCCCTGCCCCCCCCCCCCACCTACATGTCCTCCACATTGACATCTCCCTCCTGTCTCCGGCAGCCGCGTGCCTTTCTCCGCCCCTTCTTATCAGCCAGCCCCACTCCCACTTGGTGCACTCGCCCCCTCCCCCAACCCCTCACTCCCCCGTGCCCCAGCCTCGCTGGCCTGGATACCCCGGATACCCCTCCAGCACGCCCCGCACGCTGACCACCGACCAAACGGCCCACATAGACGAGGAGTGGGCCGGCGACACTCCGCCACCCTCTTGCCCCGGTTTAGAGACGGACGTGTGCAAACCGGGGATGGGGAAGGGAGGGATGGAGAGAATGAAATCGAAGAGGGAGAGGGGGTCGGGTTGCGCGAGTATGAGTGAGCGAGCGAGCGAGCGTGTGAGCGTGTGAGTGAGTTAGTGAGTGTGCGAGCGAGGGAGAGAGAGAGTGAGTGAGAGAGTGAATGAGCGAGAGAGTAAGTGAGTGAGAGAGTGGGTGAGCGAAAGAGCGAGCGAGCGTGGACGGAAAGAAGATAGGAACCAAGCCGCGGGCGCCGCGAGCTCTGTTGGTGCGAACGGTGAGAACGCGCGGGCGGGTCGGTTTTCTCTCGGTCGGGCTTCTTGTTGCTCGGCGCTGAGCTGCTGCCGCTGCTGGTCTGCCGGGCCAGGCGTATGGCGCCCGAGGGTGGGCAGACCCGCCGAGCGCCAGTGTCGTCTCGCTGCCTACCTCCCAGGCGGGCCCCGCTGGCCCCGCCGGCCCCACCACCGCCACACTGCGGCGGCGCGCCTTTCATTTTCCCTATTTCTTTTCCCCCTCTTTCTCATTGTCACCCCCCCCCCCACTACCCTTCGCTCTTATCTCTCCGCAGTGTGTTTTCCATACACCCTTCGCAGCATGGTAGTGTTTCGCTGGTGCACTTTTATTTCGCATGGCAGCCTGAGTCTTTTGCATGTTTGCACTAGTTTTGTTGAAACGTCATCACAATACTTTCGCCCCTTTTATTGCTCACTCGGCCATCACTGCATCGTGAAATGATTGAAATGGACGCTTACCCGCGGGACCTTGTTATGTTTTCTCCTCTCGCCGTGATTCTGTCCTTCCTAACGTTCGGTATCTGTATGCGCAGGGACGCCCTGGCCACCACGCTGTCGGCGCTGTACGGCAAGCTGATCGTCGTCATGGGCATCGCCTTCCCCATGGCCGAGGTCATCTCCACTTACATCCCTCCCTCCTTCTACGAGGGCTTCTACCTCTACCTCTACTTCGGCAGCATGCTCTTCCTGCTCTACATGTACGCCATGCTCCTCAAGGACAAGGCGGCCGCCTCCGTCAGCAACTCGTTCAGTAAGTCGCCCCTCTCCGTGGCCCCTCGCCTTACGGAAGCACTCACCCCCAACCCCCCGCCGTCTGGCTGCCGATGCAGCCAGGGCAAGATGGAAAACAACCCGTGCCGTGCCGTGCCACAGCGCACAGCGCACCCGCCCTTGTCGTTGGGCCGGGAGCTGGAACTGGTCCTGCAGATATTGGATTCGGATATGCGATTCCAGCTCGAGCAGCTTTGGCAGCCGAGCCAGTCGCAGGCCAGCGCAAACAACAAAAAAAGGCCGTCTGCCGCGTGCACTTGAATTCTCTTTGACTTTCATCGAGTTTTGTGTGGCTTTGTGATTGTGTCACTTTTTTGGGATGATGGATTGCCGACGTCCTCATTCGTCCATTTTCTCCATTGCCTGTCTGGCATGGAACAAAAGAGCATCCCGGTCACTTTGTGATCTGGCTCAGTGCTCACCGACGTAGCGACTGTATCTGTCGGTTTCGTATTCTTTTGCTCCAAACAGAAAATCGAGCAACAGCAGCACTTCCTGAAAATGCTAGATCATCATCTAACGGTATTCAGAAAGTAGCGTGCTCGTCGTCTGCCACACTGCTTATAATGTTATTGATGTCTTCTGTCGCAGAGCGTTCCAAGCGCACCAAGTCCATCTCGTCCAACTCGGACAGCGACTCGGCGCCGCCCTCGCCCAGCCCGCACACGGACACGGAGCTGAGCACGGCCACGGAGCAGGAGCGCTACCGGGCCGCGGCCTACCGCCGCCAGTCGGGCCAGTTCTACCACCAGCAGCACTACGGCAGCTTCTACCTCCGCATGGGGGCCGTAGGTAAGTAGTAGAAAAACGTGCAGCCACAATTATTTCAGAGTTGTGTGCTCACCTTAAAATTGTAATGCGTTGTGCATTTTATTACAGTTTGCAGCCAATGTAAACCGAGCAAACCTTAGTTGATTCTTAAAAAATATCCCATTTTGTGTTTTTCAGCCTTCGGCATCGGCAGTATGATATACTCGGGTCTTGAGTTTGGCCAGTACTTTGAACTGGAGAGGAACACCAAGTGCCACAACGTGCTCCTGGCCCTTACCCCCGCCACGCGCATGGCCTTCATCTTTATACAGATGTACTTCATCTTCCTGAACAATGAGGTGGGTTCCTGGGCCGCGTCTCACGGCGCCATTCAGAAAGTGCGTCCGTCATTCAGCTTTAGGAAGTAGCCAAGTTTACCCAATGTAAGCTCTCATGGCGCCTGGTGGGTAGGCAACATCTTGCATTCTGTGCACCCGTGTGATGCGGGGTGGCCTACCGCAAGGCTCGCAGGCGCCGAGCTCCGGTTATTCGTCGAGTGAATGAATCTGGGAAAAGGGACGTACTTTTGTGGACAATGCCTTACGCCTCCGCCCGGTTTGTCTCACTTGTCTTGCTCTTGCAGGAGATGAAGGTGTACAAGCACCGCACACTGGCGCGGTTCGGCCTCATGCACATGATCGGCACCAACCTCTCCGTGTGGCTCAACGTGCTCATCCAGGAGACCAAACACGAGATTCTCACCTTCTACAACCCGGAGAACAAGACGCTGGGCCTGCCGATGCAGCGCGTCCCGCAGCACGGCGTCAATTGTAAGCTCCTACCTGATTTAACAGTAACGACTTTGTGTGCACTTTTAACGCTTTCTCGCCTGATTCACCGGTAAAACGTGGCGCACGAATCTGATCCACAGGGTTCAACTTCCCGTTCAACACCTCGGCGTCGCCGACGCTGCCCACCTACCCGGTGCCGGACCTGCCGCTGTCGCACGGCCACGGGATGTCCCACCTGCGGGTGGCGCGCGGCCTCAAGGGCCCGCACCACATGTACGAGTGCCGCCGGACCAACATCATCGGCTCGCTCGTGCAGGACGCCAGCCCCTTCCTCTTCCCCTGCACCATCGAGTACTCGCTCATCTGCGCCGCCATCCTGTACGTCATGTGGAAGAACATCGCCAAGATGACGCCCACCACGTCCTCCTCTCACTCGCTGTCCTCCAAGCTGGAGCGCGCCGGTGCCGGGCTCCCGGGCCCCTACTACAAGCGCTCGCCCCACCACTACTCGGTGGACTGCGCCCGCGCCCACAAGGGCCTCTTCGTCGGCATCCTCATCCTCGTGCTCACCATCCTCTCGCTCATCCTGTTCTTCGTGCTCACGTCGCGCAAGGAGTTTGTGTACCTGGCTGTGATCGAGGTCAACATCTGCGAGTTGTCTCTCTACGCTATGTCCACCATCGCCACCCTGCTCGGCATGCTCAAGGTACGGCCGTGTCACGACGCTCCTTTTCCTCGTCATTTTTCCTCCCGTCTCAAACCGCTTGTCCTTTCCTCAGGTGCGTCAGTTGCGGTATGATGGATCGCGAAACCTCGAACTGGACAGCATTTTGCTGATTGGGGCTCAAACAGGGATGTTCCTATACAGTATGTTCACCGTGATTGGAGGTCACTTTACCATGGAGAAAAACACAGCCCTTGTTTTGATTACCGCGTTGGCCTCACTGGTGCAAACTACATGCCAAACTATGTTCGTATTGGATGCCTCTCGTCGCTCCTGTGTCACCCCAGAACAGGTAAGACTTTTGCCAATTTACATTCTAATGAGTATATTTAGGGATAACATTTTTATTTATTTTGTACTGAAAGTGATGACTGGCCATGACAAAAGAGAAGAAGAGAAGTGACTGAATTCCAATGTTCTTAAACAACATTCTCATGATTTCAGATTCGACGCAAGCCTGGCAGGGAGATTGTTACCTTCCTTCTTGTGACTAATCTTGCCATGTGGGCAATTAACACACTTGAAAAGTCACGTGCTGAATCACATCCTATTCAACTGAATTTCTATGGACTGTGGGCATGGACAATAATAACTCATGTTTCAATGCCACTTGCCATATTTTATCGCTTTCATTCCACTGTTTGTTTGTGCGAAATTTGGAAGAAAGCTTATAAAATGAAGCCAGTATACATGTAAAAGAAAGTACAAACAAAGTATCAAGGCCAAAGATGCATTTCTCTTGAAAATCAGAAATGTCTTGTATTGTAATTTGGACACCTCCAAATAATCAAACAGTTGTGTGTATTCATTTGACCAATGCCATTCTGAGATAATATCGTAGATCTAGAAACCCTTTATGATTTATTTATTAATTTTTTGTGTTGTGCCAAATGTAATGCTGGTATTCATATGTATATTCAGCATGAGATGAAAGTATGCCAAATGTCTTGTACATAATTAGAAGGTAGTGATAATGACTTTTAAGAAAATAATTCAAAAATACTCTTGATTCCGTGCTTACCAAGATTTTGTTTTGTGATTAAATATTATTGTTTTGTGGCATAATGTAAAGAAACTACACTTAATGTCACAAAGGAAGGGTATGTCATCCCAGTTCTTTATGGTAACAAAAGAACTGAATGGTTGATCCACCATTGTAGATTATATCCTGGTAATTTGTTGAGAATTTTGGGGTAAAATACATATATTTCTGTCAGTTTCCAAAGAATTTCATTGAATGGCCTCCCTAGTCTCATGTTACAAATAAAATGCTTTTCTTGCGTAAGTTCTGTGGAAACTGACAGAAATGACTTAATGTTGTGGTAAGATGGTGTTAAAAGAAGCACCCTTATTGTACAGTTACCTTTTGATAAGGTAAACATGCCACATCTAATTTATTCAAAGGCTTATTGTAAAAATGTAATTTAACATCTTTTTCATTTAAATTTCAAACTATTTATCAATAAACTTGTCAAAATAGAGTTATCAATAAGTTTCCTAAATTAGGGGGTGACTATGATTTGGGTAATAATCTACATTACCTTACCTTGGGGAAACAAGCGGCATCATTTTGAATGACCGGCATGTATATAAAGTCCAAAACTGCAGAGCAAAATATCAAAATATTTCCTTACTTTCAAAATTTCTAATTATGTAGGTAAAATTCCCAAACAATGACTGCAGAAAATCCTGGGATCACTTGTTTGTCTGACTAACTCACTTGGGAACAAAAACTTGAAGTACCTCTAGGATGCTGCCAAGGACTATCATCTTTTTTCATGTAAAACTAATGACTGTTTCATTTTAGCAACCAAAATGTAGCTTTACTAAAATGAAGGCTTAAACCCTCACAAGCCCCCACTCAATGAATTAAAATTTGTGTTTATCTGTGTTTCCTCTTTGCAATAAGAAATATCTAAAAACTTGTACTGATTGACTGGGTAGTTTACATGATATCTTTTACCTCAAAAATAATTCTGGTGACTGTCTCAGGGGGCAACGCTAAGGATAGCGCCTGCTGCGCGCTGGGTAGGCCAACCCGCCAAGCAGCTGTGTGAAGTCGGTGGCCCTCCCAGAGCACCCAAGTGCGGCGGGCAGAGAACGTATGACGCCCAACTTTACTTCCTGTTGCCTAGGGGAACGTCCATTGTGGAAACACCTTAAACGTAGTTATAACTCACGGCATGCAGGCGAGTCTATCTCTACTGTCGCTGGCCCCAAGCTGGCAACCGGGCAACCCGCCCACACATGTGTATGCGGTACAGTACAACTACGAAAGTAGAAGGGACCCGGTAGGTTCATGTAGCATGCAGAGATATGAATCTAAAACAACATAACAATGAAACACAGATTTTTAAGTAGACTAAAGATAATGCTACAAGCCTCATGTGATACTGCTTTTGATACTCATTTTAAATTTCCAATCATATCTACTCTTTGAAGCATATCTTTCTCTACTATACTTCTACTGAAAATTATTTAGCTGTTTGGCTTGCAAGCAAAAGCATTTTTAATCTAGCTTTTGTTTTCTTACTATAAGAAAAATGAAAATTTGCTGTGTAGTCCTTACCCTACCTCCTACTGTGCGCTTATTTCCACGAGACGTACTATCTGGTAGAGTCTGATGTAAAAATCCATTTTGCTTTCTCTTTCTATATACATATAGCAGTAAGAAGTTTCTCAATCTTATATGAGACCAAGAAAGTGTTAATTGATGTATAATGTAGAAATGTTATAAAGCTGTTTATGTTGATTTTTCATTTTGTTGTTCGGTCATGTTGTGAAATATGAAAGAGAATCACAATACCCACATGTGTTCCAATCTGAATTAATGTAATGTTAATATTAAGTGGAAAGCTTTATATAAATTGTACTGAGTCATTTGTAAGCTTTAAGCATGATGAAATTAATGAAATACAGAATACTGCTCATGTGTACCTTCACAATATACATTTTTAAGATCCTGAACCCACTGGAAATTATTATTCTAAATGGCAGCCTGTACGACCCAACCTGTTATTAAAACAACCCATACCTGAGTGCAACCTGTGAGGGTAGTGTTTCAGGGTAATGTTGCCAAGAACAGCCACCTTTCATTTTTAACTTTGGCCCTTCTTTGACATATTGTCTATCTAGCATGACAAAAGTCCATATCAAATGCATGTTGGTATTTAAAGTAAGGAACAGTTTTAAATAATGCTCATAAAATATTAATCTGGTGCCCAGAGGTGTATTTCTATACAAATAGGTACAGCCTGGAAACATAACAGGGAAGAGAAAAAAGAAACAAACTATTATCCTATGACTTATGACATTATTTGAAATTCTCCCAGCTATCCAAATGGCGAAGGTAACCAAGATGAGTTTCTACTGTTACATGTTTTGGAAAGTTGCTCTTCTTGGCGTCAATAACTTTCTTGAAAAATTCTTCGTTTTTTTGGAGATCATAACGATAACCTTTGACTTGTTCCTAAGACAATAAGAAGTGAACAAATTAACAAACAGTAGTAAAAAAGGAGGAAACATTATTAATAAGGAAAAAATACAAATACTTACTTTGCTTAAGTAATGGTGTCGAAGCCACAACATATTCTGCTCCTCTCTCTGAATGTCTTCAATAAGGTCCCTTCTCATCCAGTAGCGTATTTTATTAGGCACCTTACGCTTCCTGAAAATAATTTCAAATTGTCAGAAACTAAATTCAAATCGTGAGTTGATCTCATTCAGACGATTCAATTAAAAACCATCATTTCTAGGTGCAGCAGTCAACACACACAAGGTTAGGTTAACATCTAGACGCATTGCAATCTTACCCACTAAACATGTTGCCACGGTACTGCCCTTTGAAAAAGTTAACTAAAGTAAGCCTCATTTTAACTTCTCTTTAAATAATATCAGAATCAATATGGATTAAGTATAACGTAAACCGAAATAGCAGAAAACGGTTTTGGATTGTTTTGGCTTCTGCTCATGCGCCGCGACTATCTGCACATAGCTCTCACTCACATTATTTTCAGTTACAGCTCCAGCACGCTATTTTCAGTTCGATCTCTCGACTTGCTCGACTGAGTCGTTTCCTAGGGAAGACCAAGACCGCGCCCAAACCCAAACCACAAGCCACTACGGCGCGCTTTTCGGCGTTTTTCCTGCCTCAAGATTTGACGCGACCCCTCAAGTTTACTTTTCATTCCGAAGGACTTATGACTAGAGAATGGCTGCCAACTTATTTGAAGTAAAATGAAAGGGTCAGTGAGGGCAAATATGACCATAGTGCACAGTGTTACAGGGAGTGCACTCCCTATCCCAGGTAGCAGAACTGCATTCTGATTGCGTTATATATCCAATTTTCAGTGCTTCAGGCGCATTTTAGACTGGACATACAGGCACGATGCAATTTTGCTGGGAAGAAGAACGAAACTATCAAAAATGACCAGAAACAAACAGCTCAAGTGTCAATCTCTAAACACTTTTTGGTATGGAAAGGTTCATAGAAACTTAAGGTGCCCCCACAATGAGCGCGAGGCGATGCCGGGTAGGCGATGCCGTGCAGCCAGGCCGTGCTTGCAGGCCGTGCCGGTTGCGCGGAGCTACGCCTCCGATCTTCTAAGTAAAGCTGCATTCGCATAAAAGTCGGTAAACCTGCCGGCACTGCCTGCAAGCACGGCCTGGCTGCACGGCATCGCCTACCCGGCATCGCCTCGCGCTCATTGTGGGGGCACCTTTAGGCAATGTCACAAAAGTGTTAAAATGTGATCTGCAAGCTTGTTTCCGTCACGTTTTCATTCTTTGTGTTCTTCTTCTCGACTCACGAGAATGGCCGCCTGAAAGGTGGGCAATTTGCACCACAAAACCCCTCAGAGTACCAAGGCTTTGTTGGCAGAGTTGGTCTTATCCTATCTTTCCCTAGCTTACCTATTTGACAGTGGGTCTTTATTCCTATCTTTCCCGAGCTTCCATATCAGCCACGCCTTCGGTGGCTTGAGACGGGGATCTCTCTGGATGCGCTGCCATTCAACATTAGCCGCATCAATGCTACTAACCAACTCGTATATTTTACTT